AATCCAGAGAGCAGAAGGATCGTGATGAGCGCATGGAATCCTGCAGATATCAAAAAGATGGCATTGCCACCATGTCATATCATGGCCCAATTCTATGTGCATAATGAAGACAAAACGACCAAGAAACGAAGCCTATCGTGTCACTTGTATCAGAGATCTGGAGATATGGGATTGGGTGTACCATTTAATATCGCAAGTTATGCATTGTTTACTCACATGATAGCTCACGTTACCGAAACTAGTGCGAATGAACTTATCTTAAGCATCGGTGATGCACATGTTTACAAAAATCATGTAGAGGGTTTACAGTTGCAGGTGAAAAGAACACCCAGAATGTTTCCAAAAATAGCTTTCAAAAGCAAGAAAGATAGATTAGAAGATTTTGTATTTACAGATTTTGTACTGAGCGATTATAAACCACATGATAAAATAAAGCTTGAAATTTCTTAATTTTATTTATTTTTTTTAGCTTAAATCGAAGTCATAAATTCATTAAGCTTAGAGAAAAAGTTTGCCTTAAAAAGAAATTCATAATTGCCCCAAACATATTTTTTGGGTTCGCAACATGAAAGAATATCATACCATTTATCTGACAAATCTTTAGCATATTTTCTTGTCTTGTCAAGATCGATTCCAAAGTACAAATTATCATACGCAATAGACTGAACAACATGGTTATTAAAAATAAAAGACAAAAAGAAATTGAAAAAAGGTTTGTGTAATTCGTCTTCGTCACAGATCTGTAAGAGATCCAGATGATGTTTTTCAAATGAGGCACCACCAGATACATAAGCGTAAAATAATTTCTTGATATGCTCGATATTCTTGCTAGTAAATCCAAATGAACTATTCTCGGGACGATCGAATATGCTAACGATCACACGTAATCTGAAAATGTAATCAAAACATTCACGGATCACATCCGAATCGATATCATATTCTTTCAAAACCCAAACCAAGAAGCTTTTTTCAAATGGCATGATCTTGCGAAAATTAAAGATTGGATCTTGCATCTCACAATCGCTCTTCATCACATCATCGATCATTTGATTAGAATATCTCACGTGATTTAAAATCATACACATGAATGGTTTTTTGAGGTCTGTTCTTGCGCTAAAAAAGAAATCTCGGACCAGTGCAAAATTTTGTAGAGAAATCATGCTCATCTCAAGAAATTCTATCAATAAATCATCCTCTTTACAATTTCTTATCTTGGCTGAAACTTGCACTATTTTATTTCCAAAAAGAGTAATTCGCTTCTCAAAAAGATGCAAAATATCACAGAATACTTTCATGGTAATCCTATATCCTAACTTGCATAAATCATTAAGCTTCTCGTATAGTATCTTGTTATCGATCACAGTTGTCGATTCGGGTGGATAACAAATCAGAAATTGACCTTGGAGAACAAGATCATTGGTATCTTGAATGATCTCTTCATAATTCATTTCAATCCACATTCTAGCAAGATCATGCTTTAGCAAGATCGCTCGTGCAATCACATTCATCTGGCGATTATTCTCGTATCCGTCCAAAGAAGGAAAATCCTCATTGATAACTC